TTTATTTATTTATTTATTTATTTATTTAATTATTTAATTTTTAATATTACAACAGAATTTATCTTTCTGTATATCTCAATGATATAATAATATGGGTGATATACTAATATCCTCTTTGTCCTCCCATCAGCCCCTCCCAGTCCTGAGCTTTAAACTCATGATGTGCTTAAGCAGATCCTTAAACACTGAGATACTGGGAAGCCCACAAGTCACTTTTGACATTTACAGGTTTTGTGAGGTTCCAAATCAGATGATAAACAGGTACATTTTAGTGGATTTTAGTCATAATTTAGTCACAAAAAAAAAAAAGTGGGGGTCATCAGAGTGGGGTCTGTAATGTACAGCCGGAGGTCTGCAGTTTTACAAGTAGCAATAATGTCATCCTGAATCTAACTGCAATTTTAATAACACTAGGAAAAGCGCTTTTAATATAAAACAGAATGTTTAGAATATATTTTAACATACTGCAATTGACTTGGTCCTGTTAGTGACAAGGTTCAAGACTAAAACTTTTCATTGCTCAAACAACCAAACAAATAAAAAAGAAAGTACATATCCACCTGGGTTTGTGATTAAAATTTTTTTTTTACATTTTAAATTAAAAAAAAATTATTATTATATATTTTTTTTACACTAGAAGAGATCTTTAACTGTAACCCCCCACCCCCAGTTTTACTGCTAGCACAATAAAAAAATATTTTATGCTTCTGTGTGTGGATTGCTTCTGTATTTTTTTAAAGTATTTAAAAAAATACTTATTTGTTTAATACATTTTCCAAATTGTCCATGTCCTTTGATTGCTTGCATTTAAATGTAAACTTAACGAGACGGTCAGATGCATACTCTCTTTCTCTCTCTCTGAAAAATGAAACATGTGGAAGCTCAGCTGGTGGCTGTGATTCAGCCAGTTTCTAATCCCTATAAGATCAGGCTTTAAGATCAGGAGAGTGGAGCACAGCGATGCAGGATGACCTTTATCACACAGCGACTCAGACTCCACCATCACATGAGCCAACGTGGCATCTGTGTAGGACCCCATGACCAGCAGGGGAGCCTCATCAGGGGCAAAATAGACTAAAATAGACTAAAATAGACTAAAAATAATTGTACATATAATTGTAAACCAGACTTACCTTCATTAATCATTACACTGAGAAATTCAGTTGATTTTAAGATCAAACTGAGGATACAGTCTTCAGTACTGGTTGTAAATCCATATTGTTCCATAGCCATAATAATAAAATAATAATAATAAAAAAAATTAGTAAGTCATTAGATAAGTCAAAGTGTCATAATTATAAATGTATGTACAGGTATATTATTATAAATCATACCTTCATAATTTTGAGATACTACATCATAATTATGTAAACTTTCATTATTATGTGATATATATATATATATATATAAAGGCTTTAATATTAGAGATGAAATATCTGGAGGAATTCAAATTTTTTTTTAAAATTAATTAATTTTTTTGACAACAAGTCATGAAACTGATTCAGGTGTGAATCCTGTAATGGATTGTTCAGGCAGGACACTGTAAATGAATCATGGGTAGTTATTTGTTTACATTGCTCCCTGCCTATGTAATCTCAGAAATAAAATAAGATGCTGTGGGAACACTGACTCACTTTTCATCACCTTAGACCAGAGAGACAATGTTTCAGGAAGCAATCCTTCAGTCCCTCAGTCGCCTGTAGTGATGTGTCGTTTGCGAGCGTGTCGGCTCTTTGAGTCTCCACTTTTAGAGAGTCGACTCGCATATCTGCGCAATTTCCTGCAATTTCTCCTCGTTTTGCCTTTTGTTGTAGACGTCAGTGTAGGCAGTGACGTTATGTTAATTCGGTGTATCTTATATGCTTCATATATATCACCCATATGCTTCAGTGAAAAGTTCTTTTCAACATCTGAACTGTTTGTTAGTGTGTTTGACTCTGTGTGTATGAATCATCTATTATCCTATACAATGCAATGCAGTGCAAAATGTTATTTGTTTAATAGTGGAGTGAAAAGCACAGTAGGATTTTATGAAGCAATTTCAGACATAAGACAAATCACAAGCCAAAATATCACAAAATGTATGCGTTAAAAAAAAAAGCAATGAGCCATTTGGAATCTGAAGAATCGACTCTTATTATCTTAAGAATCAGCT